CTTATTTTCAATGAAGTAAATACAGAGAAATATAGCCTCCAAACTCTCCTCTCTTCCACTGCAGAATCCTCATAAGTCCAGTTATATCCAACAAATTCCTCCTTATTTATGCAATTTCGGAAAGAGTTGAATTAGGTAGTAGCTTAAGCGCTAAGAAGGTCCAGCTATATGCTAAACACATGCAGGTTGATCAGTTCGCCCTTTCAAATTGAAATTCAATATTTTCAATATTTTAAGGCTAAAGTTCTCTATTTCGTGGTCAAAGTTTGGAGCTGCGAAAATCTTGCCTCCTGGTCTAAACCTTACTAGTGGTTGGCCCAACCATTCTCAAGTAAAATACAGAAAAAAAAAAGTACCAAACAACCCCATTCAAGATATCTAGTAAAAGAACCAAAAAAAAGAGAGAAAGTTTTACAGTTGTTTCTTTGAATGCAAATATGCCATACAGTAACAGAAACTAGTTAAATTGAAAGAAACCTATAACTTGGCTAAGAATCAAGAATGGCCCTTGATACCAAAAACAATAAAGAAGCTTTGAAGCATATAAAAAGTGAACAGAACTCGAAAAAGCACAACTCAAAAATGAGAGAAAATTATATATGCTCTCAATCCAAAAGAAAGACCTTCAAAAATAGAAACTCGATTGAAATTCTTAAATGACATAATTTATTGAACAATTTGATTTACAAAAGATAAACATGGTACATGAACAAAACCAAAACATTCAGACCTTCAAAAATTTCAACTACGCACTAACAAAAAAAAAATGTAAATAATAACAATATAAAATTGGGCAAAAACCCATTTAAGCTCCTAAACTTTTTTGACAGCTAATGATAAGCTCCTGAACTAAAAAAGTAGCAGATAAGCCCTCAAACCCCAGGTAAGGAGCAAATTAGCCCCTCCACTAAGTGAGCTCTGTCACGCCGTTAGTGTAATCGCTTGTGTGGCATTTGACATCAAACTGGCTCCAAGGTGGCTCCAACGTGGCATCAGTGGTCCATGGGCGGGAATCATCCCACCTAAACAAAAAACTTTTACCAATTGAGTGGAGGACACCAAAAAGCTTGTAATGTCAGATACGAGTAGACATTACTAAAGATAACGAAGATCATTATACCATTTTGTGTTCGCATTCTTTACTGCATTTTTCTCAAGAATCGAAAATAGAAGTAAGAAATGATGAAGAATATGGCATACACACCAAAGCAGAGGACGCTGATAATGTATATATTATAGTTGTATACTTGTAAAGGGTAGTTAGGGTATTTCCTACAATATACCACATGTATAAATACTCTTTTACAATAATGAAAACCCTAGTGAGGCATTATCTTCTACATGGTATCAGAGCCAGATCCGGCACCAATCGTCTTCTAGGTTTTCTGTGTCTTCCGATCTTTGTCTTCCTCATGTCTACCGATCCAGTTTCCTCTTCTTCTCTTAATGTGTCTGTATCATCTGCGTCTATACATCCTACAGCAACCAGCAGTCCTACCATATCCAATTCCTCTCCATTCAATCCAATCTCTACTT